ATGAAGGACCCTGGTTTAAAGAAGCTGTGTGCACACAATACCTAATGTTAATGTTGGAGCTGATTGGTGTAGTTAATAATTTAACTGTTAGAACCAAACTAGGATTTTAAAGTTTCAATTAATTTGCACTCATCCATACTACAAGTTAATACACTACCCTGTAACTGTCCACTGATTGAGATCATGACAGTGCTTTAATAATAGAACTGTTCCAGTATTTAAGATCTCATCTGTTATTTATTTGAGATCTCTATATTTTTTGTTTCATAGACCTTTATTATATTGTTTTCAACTTGATAGTAACTAAGTAAATCACCTGGTAATAATAATTAAATTGTTGCTACTGTAGACAGTAGTATAAAAAATACAACATGTGTTTGATCACGCCAGATGTCCTTCCTGACAGAAACACCAGCTGATTCCTGTCATCTCCTGGGATAAAACCAGGGCTCATTCTCTTGTTAGGTAAATGTGTAAACCATTACACTGTGGAGCCACTCTGGAGACTCAGTAAGAAAGGAAGGTGAACAGTGCAAACCTCTTGAGTAATATTTAGCAAGTACATGGTTGGAAAGTTACTCTCACAGTAAGTTTTAGACTAATTAACAGCTTAATTTAGTGATAATGCTCAACTTTCCTAGAGGTGAAACCCCCGGCTGCCATATTTAAATGCCAGATGTTTACATGTAAGTACTCGTTTGGGAGTCCAAGTCTGTAACTGCTCCATGCTGGCAGATAATGTCAGTTTTTGTCTTTGCAGGTATATAATCCGCTCAGACCCACTGGCGCACGTGCCGGAGGACTCGCAGGTGGGACCGGCTCGTTGTAGCAGGAACCAGCAAGACTTTGGCACAGAGACCAGAGATGAGACTCACCTCTGAAACCCACCCACGCCCCCAGAGTCCTCTACACACCCTGACCCTTAACCTCTGAAAGCCGGCCTGGGCCCACTGAGCTAGTTTGTCTCACACAGATAAAGGCTCCTATCGGGCCGAGATCAGCTGTCCATAGTGAATGTGCATTAAGTGCGTCTCAGCTCGAGACCAGAAACGATCAACATCTTAAAAATTCACCCCTGAGAGATCTCCTGTTTCCCTACCGAGCTGCTATAGAAAGATGCATGAAGAGTGCCTCGTCATCACCTGCCATTCAAACACACGCAAACACACATCACCCACGAAAACAATCTGAAACTGAGAACCCTCCTCCGAAAAAAAAGGACGGCGAGAGTAGAGCTTAAACAGAATATCTTCACCGTCACTTCGTTCACCAAGCAGTGCGGTTGACCTCATACCATGACCTCCTCTGTGCTTGTTTCTACCTGAATTTACAAAAGAACAGAAACCTGGGGCAACTACACCCTCCTTCACATCTAAACGATCATGTCATCTAAAGACGAGGGTAAATGCTTTGAATTTCTTCTTTTTTAGGCATTTAACCTAAAATTACACTACCTGTGCACTTCTCTTTACTTATTTATTTTAGCTTAATTCAAATTTTAAAACTTTGTTAGACAGGTTTTTTATTTACTTACAAGCACAACCTTTTTTTCTGTAAATATACACACTGCCGTGCTACTTTTATCAGCCAGGTTTGCGGTATATTTCTGGAAATGACTTTGTTGTGATCATTGCTAGAAAGTACATTTATTCCTAATTTATTTCATTAAGTTTTCCAAGTCATGTCTGCTCTACTGTATGTGCCATTCTGTTTACACTATTGCTTTGTGAATATCGTTGAATTATTTATAACTTTTGTGCCATTCTGCATCTTTTTAGTATGGAGCCTGTCAGCAGCAGTACAGGTGGAAATAAAACGTTCGTTATTCCTTGTTTTACTGCAGTGGGTGCACAAAATGTTAATTCATGTTCTTAAAGAAAATGCAGAAGTGCCAAAATCTGCAGTTTCGTAGGTCATCTCCATCAGTGAGTCAGTCCCCATAGACTTGCATGCCTGTCGGGGTTTCCCAACGTCAGCTATGAAATGTACATATTTAAAGCCTTTAATAATCAGGGTGTGACAGTACTCAACAATTAGTTGCTGAACTGAACTACAATGTTTGTGCTGCTGGTGCCATTTAAAGCATTTCTGACGTAATATTATTTGACATAAAAATATATATGGCCTGCTGTGCAGCTGATTGTACAGTCTGACAATTTTGTGCTTAAATTTTGGTGTACCTAATTTTTTTTTATTAGTAAGTAACTTATCAGTACTAATCAGAAGTTATTTTAGTTTCGACTTTCAGCCCTACGGTTTATGGACCCAGCTTGCTAACCAAGCTAGCTGCAGAACATCCTCCCAATAAGAGCTAAACATAGTGAGCTTGGCCCTGCACAGTGCTTGTTATCACAGCAGCACTATCCTTCTTATCACATGCTCATTATTTAGGAAAAGTCTGTAGGCTAGTTTTTTAATATACGCACACAAATTACATCTCATGTCAGATCACATTTTGTGCATTCAGTTTAGTAAAACATGGCATCCCCGCCGCCGCCTGCCAACGACAAGCTCTGTACATCTGTGACATCAGTGTTTATTATTACAGGAGCTGACCCAAACATCTGCAGCAGCAAAAGGAAAACTGTTCATCAAAAAAAGGAACAATTTTCTAAATTTAGCATTTAGAAACTAATGTTAACAACACAAGCCTTTTTGCTGCTGTACTTATTACAACTCAGTATTTATCTGAAGTATTATAAGCTGCATTTTTAATTTTATATTTAAGTGCTATTTATCGTTGAATAGGATAGAATGAGAAAATTCTTTTTTTTTTCTGGACTACTAGTTTTAACAAGTTAATTTTTAACTGTCAAGTGTCTCCGTCACTCAGTACATATCATGGTCACTTTGTAAGGTACACCTGTTCAACTGCTTGTTAATGAAGATAACTGATCAGCCAATCACATGGTGAGAATAGAGTGCATTTAGGAATGGATGCCTGTTTGAGACAACCTACAATTCAAACCGTGCATCAGAATGGGGAAGAAAGGTGATTTAAGTGACGCGGGAACAGGGTAACCTACATCATTTGAAAATTCACGGTGAAAATCTTTGGATTATTGCGTACATAAAGATGCAAAATGTGACTACTTAGCTGTAGAATTTAGAGAGAGTATTTAGATTACCCAATTATCTAGCAAAATAAGATGCTCAATTAAAAAAATCACCACTTGCACTAAAATCAAATCATAAAATGTTTAAATGACTTTCAGTTATCAGTGCCACAATGGATCTGTTGTGGTAAAAATTGGAGAATTGATATCTCTAACTGCTATTTCACTCGGTCACTTGAAAATAAAGATCCTCATCTTTTGCTAAATGCTATCAGATGCATCATCGTTAACTGTAATTAATATCAACAGCAGTCAGGCTCCAGTGTTTTCAACTTGAATTCATTTGATTGTTGTCAGGGTTTTTTTGTTTGTTTGGTTTTTGTTTTTATGATCATATCTGGTGATGAGTTGCAGTGCGACCGGTAGCAGAATAGTTTTGCACAGATATCGACAGGCACAGTCAAGTCTGTTTCTATCCTGTAAATTTACTGTATTTCCAAATTTATTTTGGAATGAGCTGAAAAGCAAAATGCGCTCCTTTCTGAACCGTACGGGCACATTGTGTATGAAACAATATTTAATCTTGATTTATCTTCTTTCAGCTGTACATTTGGTTTGCTCAGTGTATATAAAACCTTAATGTACTCATTGTTTGCCAGTTTGTTATTTTGTGTGACGAAACGTGAAACTGTTGGACTTGAACTATTTTTGCACTATGCTCTACGGGAATGCGTAGAGCATAACAGCACCCCTTTAATATGAATCTGCAGAACACGGCGGACAGTATTCAACCGTTCCCATGAAGCAGAAACAAGCGTGATGTGCAGTAAATTATCATGCATCTGTTGGTTTGGTTTACCCTGTGAATGTTTACAAAACTTGATTCGATACTTAATTTTTCATTTGTCAAAGAAATATCCAGTGACGATTTGAGAAATCAAAGTGTTTTCTCTCACTGAGATGTGCCATTTTTTCCCTTGTTTGTTCTGAAGAAAATATAGGATAGGATTTTTCATGCTTATTACTGTAGGCATATTTGTTCCGCTGAAATGTACTGTTGATCTTTGTTCATTGGCCCCTCTGAAGTGTCAGTTTACAGGGCAGGGAGGTGAGGAGTGAAAGCGTGAGTGACTGCGATGGAGGATGCAATCAGTGTGCTGATATACTTGCGTAACATCTTCCTAGGTCCTCACTTGTGACAAATCCGAACACTCTAGAAAGGGTTCACTTCACATCTCCTACTGTCCACACTTACAATACCACACGGGGCATGTTAACACGAAAAAAAGAAGCATGTTTTGATATACAGGCTTGCCAAGAACAAGACATTTTGTACATTGACAGGGACATTTACCGCTAGTCCAATGTCTAGAGAAACCCATAATCGAGTCAACTGCTTGCAAGCTGGAGTCATTATTTGATACTGTGTATTTATATGAATGGAACATGCATGTTGTCTCTGTGTTAACAAAAGCCTACTATATGTATTCTGTTTACCTCCACTTTGTTTTTGAGTCATTGTCCAATTTTTGTACTATTTCTTATGAGAAGTGTTCTTCTCCACATTCATAATATGAACAAATAAATGCTGCATGCAGCCAGAGCGGATGAACCTAACACAAACACGGATGTTTTATTTCATTTATGTGAGGAATGCGGGGATAATGACATATATTTTGTGCCGTATATAGATATGACCCCACCTATATAGGTGGCTGGTATGTTATGTGTGTGAGCTAAAAGACTCTTCTGATGTGTGCCGAGAGTTACCAAACAAAACTTATTTTGTTAACATCTTTTTTTTCGTCAAAACAAAATATGTTGCTAGCTCAAATTAAATATTTTTTCTTTTGCTCTTTTATTTACATTTCCATATTTGTACACATTCAGCAATAAAGTAAGCGATGAAAATTAGCTTCACCCTAAAACGTCTTTATTATTATTATGTATCACATTATAAGTGACACTATCATTTTTTTGGACAAAAATTATGTATTAAATTAAAGTTGAAACAAGATATTGAAACCATAAACTCAGAAATTTAATAAATCAAGTGAGCAGGGCACACATTGCATAAAAGGAGAGCAAAGTAAAATACAGGGAGGAGAATATTTAAATCAGACATGCAAAATGATTTACTAACGATTGCAACATGCAATTTAGTGCTAATTGCACTGATATTTAACGCTGAAAAAAAGCATGTCTTATCTTTTGAGCTTGATATTGAAATTCACCTCAAAAAGCTTTTTTTTCCAACTCTAATCACAATTATGAGCACTCTTGGGTCTAGTTTAGAAAATCTGGCCTTTAAGTAGACTTCTATGCAATCTGATTTCAAGAGCTGCCCTCTGCTAGCCATTAGAAAGATTGCTGGGTTTTGGAAAATGGGCTAAATTCAGCCAGTCGTCATATTTAACACAAATGCATTAAGAGGCAGAGGCTGGACTGCACTGTGCCAATACAGCAAACTTTCAAGTTACACTTAGTGTAAGAATCAAGTGAGAATTTCATTTTACTTGAAGAGTGATTGGATAGCCATGATGATCTCCTCTGCCAGCTCTCTTCTAACGCCGTTGCTTGTTGGCATGTGTCTGCTTCCACCTCTGTCTGGTCCAACGGCCATTGTTCTGAACGACTTCATGCAGCAGGTTCATGAAGGCGTAGTCGTTCCCAGACAGCAGCGTTTCGTCATCAGGTGATGCACCACCAGAGGGAGCCTTTGAGCTGGACGCCCTGTTTTCTGCCCTCTGCCTGCTGTGCACAGCTCGTTTCGATTCCTTCCTCTGATTGTCCTCCTTGCTGCTCTTGATGTTGTTGTGTGCTGAGCTTTTTCCAGATGTCTGATGTCGATCCTGATGGAGGTTTTCCTGATTCGCATTTTGGTTTTGTGCAGTTGTTTGTGTCACAGTGGTAGTATCACCCACTGCCATCCCTTCTTTCTTCAGGTGTTCCTCTTCAATTGGTTTTAAGGACTGCGAGTGTCTCAGGTCCATGAGAGCCCCCATTTGATTTTTCATAGTTTCATCTTTCTCTTTGTCCCCATCAAAAGTGAAGGGATGGCCTCTATCATTTACAGTCTTCTTTATTTCATCTGAAAACTTCTTTGTTACATTTTGTCTCCAAACAGTCAAGTCATCACCATCCTCCTCATCTTCTGCTTTTCTTTTGCATCTTTCCTGCCACTGAGCTGCAGCGAGGGGCCAGGTAGAGATCCTCTTGATAATTTTGCTGCCTTTTGATCTTAGACCAAGACCTTCAACAGACTCTTCAACAGGAAGTGATTTGTTCTGGTCTGTGCCGATGCTCAGATAAGGTACCATGTCAGTGCTAACAGGAACACATTCAGGGTTTTCATCTAGATTTGTACCAGGATTGGCTGTTTTTTCATTCTCCTTGATCGCGTCTGTGGTGTTTGCGGGATTTTCTGTCTGAAATCCTCCTGCAGCTCCTGTGGCTTCAGTTTCATTCACCAGCTTCTGCTTTCCCTCAGCTGGGTTTTCAGTGACTTTTGCTTGAGCCTCTGTCTCAGTATGCAAAGTCACAGGATCCTTCCCAGATGCACAAAAAGGAGACATGAGGATTACAGCATTTGCTGACTTTGCTCTGATTCCAGTAAAGGATGTTATCCGAGCCATCTCTGCATCCTTATTCTCAGAGGATCTTAGAGAGTCATGACTTGATCTGCTTTCTTCTTCCAGCTGCTTTTTGTCTTCTCTCGAATGCCCGGGTGTCACACTTTTTTTGTTGTGTTTCCTTCGGTGTCGCACAGCCAGGAAACACACCACAAACAGCAGCACACAGAGGACCACTGTAGAGAGGGCCAGGTAAACAGAAAGACTATTTTAGCTACGTATGTATTTTCAATTCAATCAAACAGAAATATACAGTAGAAACATACCAATCACAGCAATGAGCGCACGGACAATGTTGGTATCTGACGGTGGTTGTGATGGAACTGGCCAAAGGAAAAAAAAAAAAAAAACAGCACAGATTTCATGCATTAGTATTTCAGAATTCTGATGACAAACATTTTGAGAAGAATCCAATGTACCTGTCACTCCAGCAGGTTCAGAAGCTGTTGTGGATGAGTTTGTGAGTTCGGCGTGGGGTGAGGCTTCTGTCCTTACCAGAGGTGACGTCTCATAAGATCCTGAGGAGAATAAGAAACAAACTAGAGAGTCCACAATGTTGTAAAATGCAGAATGTTTTCACTTCTTAAAAGCAGTAATTGTGCAAAATGTTTTAACAGTTATATACAGTTCAGGACCGCTGGGCTATGGTCAGATTAATCGTGTTACTCTGGCGCCATCTGCAGGTCAATAACTGACAGAGTTTCAGGATGACTCATACTAAGGGTGTGTGCAGATTTTCCCCAATGCGGTTACGGTAGATTCTGTCAAACTGATATAAAATTATTTTTTCATAGCAAAATAATAGACAACAACATAAAACAAAACAAAAAAATCTTAGGAATATTCGTAATCAGTGATTCAGAGCTATTCTGTGACACAGATTTGATGCTGTCAAAGTTAGAGACCCTCTCTTTGCCTTCCAAACTGCCTTAATTCTTCATCACAAAGATACAGTAAGGTGCTGGAAACGTTACTCAGAGATTTTGGTTTATATTGAGATGATGACAAGACCAGATGACTGTGGAGGCTGTTTGAGTCGACATGTTCAAGAAACCAGTCTGAGATGATTTGAGCTTTGTGACATGACTGTCATGCTGCTATAGGAGGAGACATCAGAAGATGGTACATTAAGGGGTTCTACTCTATTTAAACAATGCTCAGTTGGTACTAAGCGGCAAGAGTGTGCCAAGAAAATATCCCCAACACCACTGTACAAGCAGCAGTGGCATGACTCATTGATACAAGGAAGGATGGATCCATGGTTTCATGTTTAGACCCTATCAATCAAATGCTGCAGCAGAAATCAAGATTTATCAGATCAAGCAAAATTTATGTTGGCCAATTTTGGAGAGCAGAATTGTAGCATCAGCTCCCTGTTCTTATTTGACACGAGAACCACCTGATGTGCTTTTCTGCTTCAAGATTTGATGCATTGTGCATTCAGAGATACTCTGACACAAAGAAACAGTCCATGTCTCCTTGCATAAATGCATTGAGTTGCTGCCATGTGATTGGCTGATTAGATATTTGTGTTAATAAGCAGTTGAGCATGTGTACCTAATAATGTGGTCAGTCAGTGGTATGAGTTGTGTGTGTGTGGGGGGGGGATAAAAACAATAGAAACAAAAGACAGGAAAAGCCACATGTACCAGTGAGAGAGGAGCTTGTGGGTTTGGTTTTGAAAGAAGTTTCTGTCTTTGATGTTGGTCGTGAAGGAGTTTCCACTTTTACTGCAGGAAAAACGGAGACACTGATTGCTAATGTTTTAAAGAGATAAGAGTATTCTTGTCATAATGGTGAATTTCAAACAAAAAAAAGAAGCACATGTACCAGTGGATGCAGGGCTAGGTGTATGTACATAGATAGGCTTAGGGTGGATAGAGGTCTCTAATGATGAAACTGTCATTAGAGAGAACAGCCGAGACATAAATACGCACAAATTTAAAATGTAGAGAATTTCACATTTCTAATAAAAACTGGGAAACAAAAAAAAAAAAAAGTACCAGTTTGAGAAGAGTTTATTGTGGATGCATCAGTGGATGAGGCTTTGAAAGAAGTGCCTGAGTTTGAGGTTGGGCGTGATGGAGTGGTTGTCACCACTTTTACTGCAGGTAAAAATAGAAATACTAAGTGCCAGTTAATAGTATGCACACACTGAAATGTAAAGAGTTTCACGAAATTTTATTAGCCACATGTACTGGTGTAAGAGCTTGTTGTGGGTATATCAGTGGGTTTGTGTGAGTTTGATGTTGGTCGTGATGAAGGAGTTTCCACTTTTACTGTAGGAAAAAAAGAGAAAAGCATTGTTTTTGTTTTTAAAAAGGGGTGAAAATATTTCTGTAAGAATTTAGAATTTTTATGAAAAAAAGCAGCACATGTACCAGTGGATGCAGGGCCAGATGCGTGTGCGTAAGTGGGCTTAGGGTGGACAGATGTTTCTAATGATGAATCTGTAACTACAGAGAACAAACGTATGCACAAATTTAAAATGTAAAGAATTTCAAACATCTAACAGAAACTAGGAAAAGAAAAAAAAACTTCATGTACCAGTGTGAGAAGAGCTAATTGTGGATGTATCAGTGGATGTGGGTTTAAAAGAAACATCTGAGTTTGACGTTGGACGTGGTAGAGGCGTCCTCACCACTTTTACTGCAGGTAAAAATACAAATACTAAGTGTTGGTTATTTAAGTAAAGATATGTAAATACTCTTGTCAAGTGTTACAAATAAAAAACAACAACTCTGGCACAATTTAAAATGAAAAGCATTTCAAAAAAAGGATTAGCCACATGTACCAGTGTGGGAAGAGCTTATTGGAGGTACATCAGTGGATGAGGCTGCGAAAGAAGTGTCTGATGTTGGGCGTGATGGAGTGGTTGTCACCACTTTAACTGCAGGCAAAAATAGAAATAATAAGTGCCAGTTACTAGTACGCACAAAATGTAAAGAATTTCACAAAATTGATCAGCCACTGTACTGGTGTGGGACGAGCTCATTGTGGCTACATCAGTGGGTTTGTGTGTAACAGAAGTGTCTGAGTTAGATGTTGGTCGTGATGAAGGAGTTTCCACTTTTACTGTAGGAAAAACAGAGAGAAGCATTGCTTTTCTTTTTTTTTTTAAAGGGGTGGAAATATTTCTGTAAGAATTTTGAATTTTTATGAAAAAAAGCAGCACATGTACCAGTGGATGCAGGGCCAGGTGTGTGTGCATAAGTGGGCTTAGGGTGGACAGATGTTTCTAATGACGGAACTGTCAGTGGAGAGAACACAAGCACGCACAAATTTAAAATGCAAAGAATCTTCAGCATCTAACGGAAACTGGGAAAAGAAAAAAAAGCTTCACGTACCAGTGTGAGAAGAGCTTATAGTGGGTTTGGGTTTGACGGAGGTTTCTGTCTCTGATGTTGGCGATGGAGAGGTCGTCACCACTTTTACTGCAGGTAAAAATGTAGATACTACGTGGCAGTTATGCTTTTAGACTTGTAGACTTTAATAAAAACAAATAATTAGGCAAGAAGAAACAGCTGTACCAGTGGATAAAGGGCCCACTGACGGTGTTCTTGATGGTGATGTCACGCATACCGTTACGTTCCACACCAGCCGACCCCTCAGGGATGGAGGACTCTCACAGGTCACGTCCATCTCGTTTTCCAGCTGAGATCTGCTCTGTAGAGCTGAGGGGAGAAGCGACTTTACATTTCTTTCTTTCTTTTCTTTTTTTTAATAAAACCACATTAATAATGTAGTTTCTCACTTTTCTCAAACCTTTCATAAAGGCGACAAAGTCTTCAGCTTCACACGAACAGTCCCAAGGGTTCCCACCTAATCTGATCTTGGTGGAGGTCAGAGATCTGAAGGCTTGTGGTGAGACCCAAGTCAACTTGTTCTTGGACAAGTCTAACTCAGCCAAGGCGGCCTGGGAACTGAAACTATTCTGCTCAATATTCCTGAGCATGTTTTTATTCAGCCTGAGGCTTGTGAGGTTAGCAAACTGTCCGAGCGTGGACTCACTCAAGACTTCAATGTGATTTCCCGTAAGGATGATCTCACTCAGGGCGGCGGGCTCTTTAAACCAGTTTGAATTAATCTGCGACAGATTGTTTAGCTCCAAGCTGAGATACTTAAGATTGGTAAGTGAGCTGAAGGCTTTTTCAGCGATTCTCGTGACACCTGCGTTGTTGATCGTGAGCCTGGTGATAGAAGCGAGGTTCTCACTCTGCAGCACTGTGGAGTTGATCTCTCCGACATCCTTCAGGACCATCAACAGAGATGAGGAACCAGGTTCAAAGTCTAAGTGGGCAGAAGTGTTTTTAGAGGAGTCAAACACAAAGCTGCACATACTTACATTTGCATCTTTTTGCTAAATCAATCTGAATCAACAAATGAGCTCAAAGGAGAAAACATGCAGTGAAACTATAAAATCAAAGCATCCTGCAGATATGCAAACATCTGAAGAGACTATTTTGTTGCCTTTGCTTCCCCCTAGTGGTTGACAAATGTGTGACCAGAGTAAAACTTGCAGCATCTGTTACAAGTCAGCAGGTATCATTAACTGTGGTTTGATCACGTTGAGTATTAAATTGTTAGTAAATTGTAGTAAGATCAATAAGAGAAAATAAAACTTCTTGATCAATCTTTACAGCCTGACAGAACTGAAATCAGACTTGTCCCAATGACCCCAGAAGCCTCAACATCATAGACTCAGTCTGGGACTATAAAGGCACAAAAGACAAAGAACTTAAAAAATATATAATTGTAAAAACTTTGGTCAATGGAAATAAAAAAATTCTGAAAAGGTCAGCCGAAAGGTTTCTTCTTAAAACCACATTCAGGGAGTCTCAGGTATTTAACCCTTAGTGAGGGCCGTCCCTTTGGCTCATGTGACAGGTCACATGATTAACAGTGGATCAACAACCCTGGGGACCTCCAAGAGACCTGCTCCTACTAAGGGTTAAATATCATGCACTCTCTGCTTGTTGTTTGACAGCTGAAGAAGTTTATTAGACGAGAGGTGAAACATCTTGTCAGAAAAGGCGACTTTAAGGCCAGTTGCGTTTTTTTCAGTATACACATTTGTGTATTAAATTGAATTAAATTAAATGAAGAAGAAATCCATTTTTCTTCTTGGTATGAAGTTAATTGACTTTATTTCCGATATATAAAATGTTGCTGTCTAAGCCTATTTTAAAGGTCACCATTAAAGGTGTAGTAAACAAAATTCCTTACATGTTGGGATGTTGAAGCAGATCGTGATCGTTCCCTCTTTGATACAAGGACGGCTCAGGTGGACAACAGCCAGCAACAAAACACCACCAGCTACAACTGTGTGGATGCAGACCGATCACATTAGTTAAAGCTGAACATTTGATGACTTTCTGTGTGAGCATTAAAACCAGCAGCACTTACCCTTCATGGTGACCTGCTGGATGCAGTTCTTCAGCTCGGACTGTGGAGTGAGAGTTTGCAGATTGTGATGGTCTCGTGATCACCTGAACTAACAGGTGTGAAAAGAAACAGAGTTGCCATGACAGAGAAGAGTCTGCCATGGTTATGGTTGTGCGTTTGAAGGCGCTGTTCCAGTTGGCTGATGAAGCACGAGACAGCTTTTAACAGTGGGGGGGCCTGAAGATGTTTTCACCACTTAAAGGGCTTTTCAGTTGAATACAGCACCAATTCAAAAATGTTTAACTCAAGCACTTTATATTGCAAAGCAAAGATCCCACAATATAAGAGAGAGAAAGCACTAAAGATACCACAACTGTTTGGGGGGGGGAGGAAAAGTGAGAGCATAGAAAGATGATGATCAACAACAGATTATGGGAGAACATAGACCAGTGTAACGTTGGCATATAAACATATGGGAGAATATAGGTAGGTTCTCAAGCATGTGATAGTCAATTTTCATTGTGGGCTACATTCGGGTCCATTTTCTTAAATGGGCTGAACCAGTGTAATGTAGTTTAACTGCAAATTTAACCCCTGAGATATCACAATTTCAAGAGGACAACCTGTTTTCTCTACATCATAAAGAAATGCTGCTGTAGGTAATGAAAGAGACCTGTCAGAAACTAATGTGTAAAATTAAAAAAGGTTGAACTTGAATGTTTTTTGGTTCATGAAGATCTCTCTCTCTCATATCCATCCAAGAGTCTTCTTCAGTCTCAGGTATTTAACACATAGTGATGTTGTCCCTTTGAGGTGATCCTGATGCTCAGTGAGCCTTTATCAATAATGCGAGTCCTATCACAGAGCTCTACAGTTGTTATAAAACTGGCTCTTGGGTGACAGGTGAGACATGTTTTTAAGCCAAACAGTTGCCTTCCTTTCAAGCGCTCAAATACACGTGGGTTCATCCTAGGAAACATCCTTAGTGCATCATGAGAGGACTCCCAGCAAACCGTATCGAACATTTAAAAACATTTTAAGTAGAATTTTAGTAGCAGAGGTTTTGGGTTGTTTGTTTTCTTTAAACTTAGTGAACTCTGAGTTAAGTACTTGATGGGGTTAATATGCTTCCTCGAAGTGTGATGCTGGCTGATCACTCAGGACTTTGTACATGTGTAGAAGGATTTTAAATTGATTTCTATATTTAAGGGGCAGCTAGTGAAGAGAAATGCAAATCTCCCTCTCTCTAGTCCATTTGAATGCGCTTGCTGTGGAGTTTTGAATGGACCTAAGGCTTTTGCTACAACTTCATAACAATGTTGAATAATATTGAATATACATGCCCAAAGGTTCATCCATCCATCACCTCATTCACACCAAAGCAGTGCTCATGCAGAGGCAGTTCTGCTTTGGTGCTTTTTGAGAAGGAGCAAAACCTCTGATCCCTACTGAGCAGAAGTTGGAGTAATTTCTATTAAAAGTGTGGGCTTTATTTGCCAGCCATTAATGAGTTCCTTCTGCTTGCCCCTCTCATGATGTCAGGAAACAAAACCCTCCTGCTGTTTAAACCTGAATCATGTCGAATGAACTAAAGAGATGCATCAAGATAAACACCGATTATTTTTAAAGTGAGGTAAAGTCCAGTTTAAATTAGAAACCTGTCATTCTGGGAACACTTTTTCTGTCTTGTTAGCTTTCATTCATTAATAGGAAAAAGTGTGTTTCAGTGAAAAGATGCAGACTTGCTCCTCGAGAAAAAAAAAAAAGTGTGACAATTGCAAACAAAAAGTTGTGATGTTTTGTTAATCAACATGGTGTCAAACAGCAGCAACAGAAAGCAGTGAATCTAAATGGATAAATGAAGCCATGAGAAAATCGAAATGAAAAATGTGACTTTTATTTACTTGAAAATTTATTCTGTTTCAGTGCTTCCATTTTAAAATAAATAGATGGCATGGGATCAAAGATAAAAATCAACAAGGATGAAAAGTACATGTGTAACAAAAAAAAAATACGGTGACCAATGCCAGTACAATCTTTTAGGTAACATGAAAATACACTACCGTACAATTAACGATCGACCACCTCTGCCACCCAACCTCCCCAAAAACACCATGCAGCAAGAGAGAAATCAAGTATTCCACAGTTTTTTTTGGAGACAGCAGTAGTATCATGTCAGTGACGGCCCTTCAGCTTTAATTGTCAGTGTTAAATCTTAGCGTTTAGTTTAGTTTCCACAATTATATTCATTATTTTCCCGGAGCGCACAAACAGCAGTCTTATTAATTCTTAGTTTTTATGCCCATTCAAAAGGTAAAATCCCCTCAACAAGCAGAAAGTAAAGTGCTCGTGCAACGCTTGGGGTTGTTCTGGAGGCCAACATATGGTTTCTAAAAAACACACAAAAAAGCACTTTGAGTTTTGAAAAAGACAGAGAGAAGAAGAGAGACGACGTGGCAGTGTTTTGTCAACACCTTGGAGGAATGTTCTTTAATGTTGGTACATAACTGAACCACAGCCCCCCCCCACCAACCACCCCTCCCACACACAGAGACCCTCCCCTCCGTAGTGAATATATCAAATACTGTCATTCGAACAGGTTACAGGGCAGCGCGGAGGTACTCTTCACAACAAGAGTGCGCGAGCCGCTGCTGCGATTTAAGATGGGACAGGCTGACAGAAACACTTGGGGAGGGAAGAAAAGGCTTTGAGGGGAGTTACATTGCATGAAATAAGCCGTCGACAAGTGTTCATGAGTGCACCTTTGTACAGGACAGTTTAAGTAGTGTCCAGTGGAGAGAGAAAACACAACTAAGCTCTAAACATCAGAGAATTCCTGTTATGATGAAAAGACATAACATCAGCTTAAACTCTATTCCACATTGCTTAATTGATAAATTAAAAAAAAAAAGCGCTAAAAAAACCAAAAAAAACCCAAAACAAAACATCAAAAAGCATCATTTTGTACCAAAGCCTATCATTCATCCTAAAAATCAAAAAGGATGTTTTGACAAATAAAATTCTTTAAAATGACCATCGTTATTTTTTGCCTTTTTTCTTTGCAATACACATATCCAGTGCTACACGATCAGCATCTAGTTTAAAAAGCGGCTGAATAAATAGACGATAGTACCACGATGCGTGAAAGGCCAACGGATGTCTGAGGGATACCCAAGGAGCTCCCCCGTGACTAAAGAAGAAGACAGTTCAGAGCAGCAGGTTTTCTGGAGATCCCTGGTGAGGCAAAATTGGTAATGCCAGCCTGATTCGACAGATTCGACAGTCCACACGGGGAGAAAGTGTAGTTGTGACAGCAGTGTAGTCCTAAAGGGTTGTACAAAGTTCCCTTGTTTCCGATTTTCTGAAAAGAGCGACATAAACCCCCCCAGCCCACCCCGATGTCCCCACCCCCTTTTGTGTCCAAATTTGTCCAAAAGATGAGGCATTTCTGGAGAGAAGGAAGGATTTTTAGTGCTGCAGCTGAGCTCTCAACCATGACAGTGCTGAACTAATAAATACTTCATGTAAAAATGAACATCCACCACATATGAGGGGGGGGAAATGCCACATGCTTGAGTCATGGTTGTTGTTGAAAAAAAGGAAGAGAAAAAGTAATCAGGCAGACTCAAAATGAACCTGAACAGATCCCACCGACATCACAGGAAGAAGAAGCAAACTGAGCTGGCATTCCCTCTCACATCGCAAGCACCAGACTCACATCGCAAGCACCAGACACACATGCGCGCACACACGCGCACGCACGCACACGCGCGCACACACACGCGCACGCACGCACGCACGCACACACGCACACACACACACCTTTGTTTCTGCCTCGGTCCACCTACAGATGACCGCATGTCCATAGTGGCCTCTCTCCCGTGTAGGTTTCCATCCCGAGCTTTGGGGCGTCATTGCAGTCAGAAAACAAGCAGTGTGAGGATAGGATGAAGTGGATGAAGGTGTGTTTCCAAATCCTGCCTGCTATTTTCCACTTTTCTTTGGCACAGCGCTTCTCTTGGCCTGCCACAGGTGGTTGTGGATGGTCAGGGCGTCCACGCTGACTGACACAGTCTTGGCAGGGATGACGGTAAACTGCTTTCGATCAGAGCTGTACTTATACAGCTTATCAATCATCTTCTTGCTGATGCTCTTGGGTCCGGTGCCCGTCAGCTTTTGTATCTCTTCGGTGTCGGGGAAGTACGAGTAGAGTGCCCGAAACTGGCAACCACCGTCACGAAACAGGATCATGAGGTGGTTGGACTCACACTTCTCCAGCTCCTAGTGGGGTAGGGGAAGGGAGGGGGGTTACAAGGAGATATAACTCCTGGGTAATTTTAAGACAACATTCTTTAAAGACACAACTTTCACCAACTTTTGCATGACGTGCTGTCACTGATTATGAAAAAAGAAATTGATCATGCTTCCAAGATAGAAGTGCCAGTGTTACTTTTGTGATCCCAAAAAGAAAACAAAATAGTTTAAGAAAAACGAGTGTATAAATTACATCAAAATATTCATATTCTGAATGCAGGAACCTTTGGATCACTTAATTCCAGAAGATCCCAGAAGTTCATTTAACAAACATCTCAGGTAGTGAACGTGCGTCTAGTACCACAAAAAGTAGATTGCTAAGGACTGAATTGGTCCTTGTAGCCATGTTAAGAATAAGAATAACTTTATTGATCCCAGAGGGAAATTCATACGTCTGACATGGCTCATTTGCTATTTGTATGAGACTAAATAGCCTGATGTCTTCCAGTACTGATGCATTTTTGTTCCATAAAGTGGGTGAGCAGAGTTGTTCAACATGGCTACTAACGTCTTTATTGTGCATCTTTCCATCACTTCCCCCAGCGTGTCCAGTCAGGCTCCAATTACAGAGCCAGCTTTTCTCATTAGTTTGTCCAGTCTTCTTGCATCCTTGTTTCTGATGCTGCCTCCCCAGCCTCAGAATGATAGGAGATTTGCAGCAATTTACTGCAGATGTTAGGAAATCTTAGTATTCTTAACAAAAAGAGGCAACTTTCCCCCTTTTTGTACAGTTCATCTGTATTCAGGGACCAGTCCAGT